ACAACACACAATATTGGCCTATGCAGGAGCCACACTTACTATGTATAAACCAGCTATTGATCTTTGCCAATGGACAAATAACTTCAAACTCACCTCACCTCCCCTCTCCTCCGAAAAGGTAAAGCATTGATACTAACTTACACTAACCATATGATTTTTCCAACCAATCCAATCTCTGCCTCACCCTAACCTCCCCAGATCCTGTGTGCCTTGTTTTTCTTTTCATATAGTTTCCTTGCATCTATATGTATTCCTAAAAGTTTTTTCTTTAATTTTAGCTGTTTAAAAATTTATAAAAGATGTCACATTGTACCTTTCATTGTATTTCTTTTACTTAATATTGTATTACTCAGAGGCATCCATATTTTTGCATGTCACTGTTGATCATTTGTTTTGACTGGCTATAATTCTCCACCCTCCAACTGATGGCTATTTGGCTTTTTCCGGGTTTGCGGTGGTGTGAATACAGTTGCATATGTCTCCTTCTGGACATGAGTTTTTCTTGGGCACATACACCTAGAAGTGGAATCACTAGGCCGTAAGAAACGTGAACGTTTGGGACATTCACTTACAGTCCAGTGGTTAAGATTCCAAGCTGTCACTGCCAAGGGCTCGGGTTCAGTCCCTGAATGGGGAACTAAAATCCCACAAGACAAGCAGGGTGGCCAAAAAAAATGTGCACCTTCAAGTTTAGGACATAATATAAAAGTGTTTTCCATTTTCTTGGATTTCCTAGAGTTTCTAAGATGATTGCTTCCTCTTCCTGTCTTCCTCAATTGTGTTTCTTTAAAGTTCATGTTCCAGCTCTATCAAAAGGTTTAAATCAGATTCTTGGCCTAACACCAGAGTAGCCTCTCAGCTAAATCCACCACGTGGAAAAAAGGAAAAAAAAAGGGGGGGGCTGTTTTCTGAACACAGATAATAAGAAGGGCATCTCTGCAGACACAAGGCCCCACCCTCATCCAGACACAGAGACAGGTTAGTCAAAGAGAAGGGAACTGTCTACAAGCTGCTTCACATTTGGCAAATGCAAGATTTTTTTAAAAGAGTTTACATGGAGCCAAATATTGTTCTCCCATCCAAGTTTTGCTTGCTCAGTCTCTCCACCCCCACACCTCCCATAACCACCCCACACACTTTAGGAACAAAAGCCTAAAATGGAAAAAAATAATAAATTGTTAAGTAACCAATTTCATTTAAATGAGAGCAGGGAGTCCAGCACGGATGTCACAGTACAGTCAAATTCATTTCAATAAATATTTACAGTACACTCTGCAGTGTGACCAGCATACTGACAAATAACATCTTTACTCTGCCCTTGAGAGGTTGTAAACGTTCATTTAACAAGACAAGATCATGGATGGAGTGCCAAAGGGGCAAGTTAATGCTAAGAGGATGAAGATGCTGGTCTGATCTCAAGATGCTCACTGTAAAATTAGCGAAAGTTAAGAACACAAGTGAATCAGATATTGAAGCTGTGCAAAGGTAGAGAGTGATCGATTCTAACCAACATGGAGAGTGATGCTAGAGCTAGGTTTCAAAGGATGAGTACGCGAGAGGAGAGAGGATAAAGAATACAGCTTAAAAAAATTAAGAAATCAAATTTTTCTATTTCTCAAACTTCTTAAAATCTATTCCCTGCCTCCAGTCCTGTACCAAGAAAGTGGAACCTGTGGATCACTGATAAACATGTGTCATCTGAGGACTTGCCTGGTGGCCCAGTGCTTAAAACTCTGTGCTCCCAATACAGGGGGCAAGGATTCAATCCCTGATTGGGGAACGAAGATTCGGCATGCCACTCAGTGAGGCCAACATAAATAAACAAATAAAATGTTAAAGCACGCATCATCTGCATTTATTTGTTCATTTCACAGGTGCCAGGCCCTGTGCTGAGCTCTGGGGGATACACCGATGGACAAGCTGGGCACAAACCTGCCTTCACCTAGCTCCCAGTCTGCAGAACAGACGGAGGTTTAGACAAAGACAGGCAGTGGCTTGGCTTAGCCATCAGACTCCATGGACCTGAGAGAGCCCCTCCCCCATCCAACCCTCCCCAGAAACATTTTCAGTAAATTGTGCAGGATTAAAGAAATGGCTGCCTCCTCCGTAATTAAAAAGCTCCTGACCATCATCCCAGGTAGCCACGTGGCCGCTCAGAGCCGAGAGACCAAGAAATCAGGTGCTTCCTACATAACAGCCTCCAATCTGATACCTGATAGCTGCTGGGAGCCAGAGTCAAACAAATGTCAGGCATTTTATGAAGGCAGGAAGCAAATAAGGGGGCAAGGATTGGGGTCTAGGCCTCAAGGGAGCTCAATTAGTGAGCCAGATAAAGTTAAACCGAAAGGGCACACTCTGGGTTTCCTAGAAAGCCAGCTGGAAAAGATGCCAATCCCTAAGCCTCTGTCACTCAAAAGATTAACAGAAGAGACCCAGGAATGCCCAAGGGAACACTGCAATGGCCAGATGTTTCTGCTCCTCTCATGACACTGCTGCCCACAATCACGACTACATTTCTGACTTCACCAAGAAGCCACAGAAGAGAACTGCAGGCTTCCGGAATAGATTGAAACTCAAAGGCATCACCCTTTAGCAATGCAGACACCAAAATACATCCATATATTTGGCTCCCACCACTACACATGCACCATGTTTCAAGCAAGGCTTTTACCCTCCTGAGTCTCACTTTCAAAATGACACTAAAAAGACCCACCTTCTTGCTCTTATAAACATAAGTGATCATGGACAGTGTCCGGCCCAAGAATTCATAAATGGGGGCTCTTACTGGGGTCTATAAATGCATCCAGGTAACCACATGCTCAACACAGCACCTTTCTGTTGGTACTTTCTAAATGTGTGTGTGTGTGTATGTGTGTGAGTCTGTGTGAGAAAGAGAGAGAGAAAGAGAGAGAAAAAAATCAAGCTGGAACACACAGAAGCCTATTTACACTTCCTATTTGTGTCCCTCCATTTCTATCAAATTAATAAACTACAGAAGCCCAAGGGAAAACTAACCCATGTCTCTATTTTCCCTTTAAGTCCCTAGCTTTCCCCTAAGAGCTGCTTCCTCCAGTTTCAGGAGGCAAGGAAGGAGAGCCATATGGCTTGAGACCCTAGACTCGCCCAGCAGCAAACGAGCCCCCCACCATTTGTCTCCGGGCCTCTCATGTGGGCGGGCATCCAGCTTTCAGTCGGGTGCTCTGGTCTGCGTCTCTGTCTTGACTGTTCCTAATTATTGGAGGGAATGCCGTGGCTCTTCTGACCTCGGAGTTTAAAAGCTGCAAGTCCTAATATCAAACCAAGCAGCTTCATTTAAAAGGCATCCTCATCTGCATCCATAAAAGTCACTCCCGGAGCCCTGACTTGCCCCAGCTTCGGGAATGCCTGCTGTCGAGGATTTATGACACGCCCTGGCTCTAATCGGCCGCACTTTAACTGCTGCTGTTGCACATCTGGTCATAAAAGCAAGGGCAGGCCCAACATGGGGACAAACACGTTCCTTTCCTAAGTGGCTGCAAATCTGATCTCACAGTGATAGCCAGGCTCAGATGTAATCAGCCAGCATCTGGGCAGTCATCAAGGCTCGTCAAGCCTTGCGACGCATTTCCCACACACACGACAGTTATAAAGATGATTCTCACGGAGCGAGCGCTAGGAAGAAGGAGCCTGCAATCTGAACAGGTGGCAACGGGCTAGGCCAAATGATATCCAGGAAAGCACAAGCTGGTTAAGGAGCCAATCTTTTCACAAAGATACTAGCTACTTCCACAGGGACTCTCCTGCTGCCTGGAGAAGTCAGGCAGCTATCTTGACAGACAACTGCCCTGACATAAGGTAATTCTTGGCCAGAGAGCCTCTAGTCATCATTGTTGTTTAGTCACTAAGTCATGTCTGACTCTTTTGTGACTCCATGCACCGTAGCCCACCAGGCTCCTCTGTCCATGGGAATATCCAGGCAAGAATCCTGGAGAGTGTTGCCATTTCCTTCTCCAGGGGATCTTCCCTGGATAGAACTCATGCCTCCTGCTTGGCAGGCGGAGTCTTTACCACTGAACCACCTGGGAAGCCCCATCCTCTGGATAAGTTTGGTCAAATGAACCAGAGGGTGGTTTAAGAGTACACTTTTTAAGGTAGTGGAATCCTTCATTAGACCAACTGGGTTATATGGGAGCAAGAATCTAGCCCAGAAAGGAACACAATGCTGTCGGTTCCAGAGGTTTTACAATGCCCTGGACAGCCCGCCCTGTGCGCAGAATTGGCACGTTTCACATCGTTCAGGAACTCCAATCAGACCAAGGTTCAACAAGTAGTGCAACCTCCCAGGCGCAACGCAAGGAAAGCTTCTCGAACGAACACTGCCAGTTCCTCTCCTCCAGCTCTCCACAGCCCCCCATCTCTACCCCTCCTCTGCGGCTGTGCCCAGCGGGAGGGAGCATTAAAATTATCTGCTGTGGGTTTTACGAGCAGCGATAGCTTTTTAAAACAACAACAACACAAGGTCCTTGTGTGGCTCTCCGGTAACCTAAAACCCTGGAGGCAGAGCAGCCCTCCCCCCAAACCCCCCGCCGCCGCCGCCGCCGGCCAAGAACGCCAGCGCTCTGGGACCGCGCGCGGGGTGAGCCCACGGAGCAGCCCTGGTCGAGCGGAGAGCCAGGAGGCACCTCGGATGCAGGAGGCACCTCTAAGGGTCTTGGAGTAAAATGCCCCGGGGGGAGAGATGGGGAAAGAGAACTCACCAGTGACAGTAGGGGGAGAGGGGGAGGAGAGGGAAGGCAGAGTCTGTGCTGCAAGAAAGAAGGGGTGGGGCGGGGGGAGGCGGGGAACAATAGGAGAAATTTTAATTTCAGCAACTTCGCCGAGAGCCCACCGGTGACGGAGTAGTAGGTGGGGGGTGGAGGGGGCACAGGATCTGATACCTCCCTCTCCGGTCCCCAAGGGATGAAGGCCAGCGACCTGGGGTCTCCTTCCGCAGGTGGGAGCGCGGCTGGGGGCGCACTTACCCTGGGGCCGGTGGTGCGGTGGTCGCGAGCCGGGGACAGCTGCACTAACACCAGCAGCAAGTGGGGCGTGAGCAGGCGGGCGCAGCGCGCGGGCAGCATGGTGCCAGGCCGGTCCGGGCAGCGGGCTGCGGGCAGGGGTGGCGGGCTTCACGGAGCGCACGGCTGCGCCGGCCTTCCTGCCTTCCTTCCCACCCCTGGGGACCCTGGCGACGGCGGGCTGCGGAGCCGCGGCGGGGCGGCGCGGGATCGCGGAGGCTGCAGCCGGAGCGCGCGCTTATGAACCGCCCCGGGACCGGAGCTGAGCGCGAGCGTGTGCTCTGCGCGCGGCGCTCTCCGCTCGGCTGGGCCGCGGCCGCAGCAGCAGGTTGGATGCCAGAGCCCGGGCCATGGGAATTCCCGTTATAAACCCCCGGGAGGGGCGGGGCGGAGCCCGACGGCCCTGACTGACGGGCCGAGAGGCCCGTGGCAGCCGCCCCTCGGGCAGGTGAAAACCAATGGGAGAGAGGAAAGAGGGGCGGCTCGCGACTGTCCCCACCGAGGAACGACACTCGGTGGCTCAGCCGAGTGGGCTCTAGGAGAGACGGGCCTAACGATGAACATTCTCTTGGCCCTTCGGTCCAGGGAAGCGTCCGAGAGCTCCAGCAGCCTGAGCTAACCAGAATGCCCGCCCGGCTAATGATCACACCTTAGGCATGTGTAGTTTTCAGTACGTGAGTTGTCACACCACCCGGATGAAATAGGCAGGGAAAACACTCCTAGCCCCGTTTTCTCAGATGAGGGTGCTAGGGCACAGGAAGGGCTGGCACATCTGCTTCCCGGCTGCACCAACACCAAGAACAACTGGGAAGTCGCCAGGTCACCGGCACACGGAGAACTGACTGTAAGCAGCGTGAGGAGTGGGATTGGCGCATTCGCTACTTGCAGACAAGGTAGCACTAAGTGCTACAGCCGCGGCCCCCGGAGCAGTGTCAGGGAGAGAGAGGAAGCTCGTGCTGGTCGCGCTGGGGAGGGCCCCTGTGGGTATGAGATGATGCCAACCCGTGGCCCTGTGGTGGATACGGGATTAGAACCCAGGCGTCCTGGCTCCCTACCTGGAACTAAAAGGCCAACAGGCAACTTCTCTGTGGCCCAGGAGCCCTGGCAGGAGAGGTCAGAGGGGACCTGGTCTCCTGACCAGGGGAAGAAAGAGGAAAAAGCACTGATAGGAGGGGTAATCTGTGGATGAAGAGACCCCAGAGATGGGTCAGAGGAGTCAGGGAGACCTCTCCTGAGTGCCCGTAGGATGCTAGAAGGCTCTGCCCAGGACGATCCCCAGGAGTTCATCTTGGGAATGGTCACAGACACATCACACCAGCCCTTCAAAGGAGCGAGAAGGGCCACTGCATTCAACCTAAGAGAACCATGGTTTACCTTCTTAAGTGGAACTCAACCCTTAGTGTTTATTTTCTTTGGTATGGACCAGTCACTTGAAGGCAAGGGATTCTTTACTCCAGCCAGGCTGGAAGCAGCACCAGGGCTTAACTCCTCTCCCTGTGAGCTTAAGAGGTCCTGACAAAGGTTGACTCTGCTCCCTCACAGCGTCTCTCCTGGGTTGTATAAACAAGCTTCCCCACCCAACTCCTGCATTCAGTTTTGCCCCCCGGTTTGCCTGCCACCTAGCCTCTACCTAGCAGCCAGTCACTCTTCTAAAAGGCAAACCTGAATCGTCACTCTCTGCTTAAAAGGTTTCAACTCTCCCCAGCGTCATCAGATCAAAAAGCCCTGACTGGATGTTAGAGCAATTACAAAGTACTGATGGTTCTTCAAACAAAAATGAGAAACTGCTCTAAACTGTCTTCCTCTGCTGGGAAATAGCGGGAAATAGTTAATGCTCTCTGGAGCCCGTCAGCCTGGGTTCAAATCCTGGGTCTGCCACCTAGTGGTATAACCTTGCACAAGTCACTTTACTTATCTGGGGTGCTGCTCTCCCTTCTGTAAAATGGGAATAAAAATAGTGTCCATCTCATGAGTTGTTGTCAGGATTGAAGGAGATGGAATATACAAGTTCCTTAGAATGACTGTGTTATAAATATCACAACCTGGCATCTTAAAAGGGCAGTACAAATGCCTCATCTCATTTTACCCTCTGAATGATCCTGTGAAGTCGACAGAGAGATCCAGCTTTACAGGTAAGTAAACTAGATACCCCATGCAATTGGGACTTGCCTGGCCTCATTTGGCTGGTAAATGACAGCAAACATTCAAGCACAGGTTTTCAGAGTCTAATTCTGCCTCCATCATCTGATAACTGCAATGTCCAATCGCATAGAGTTCGACAGTTCCTGTGTGCTTCCTGGGAATTTTTTCAATGGCCTGCAAGGGAGCTGAGATTCTGAGCCTCACGGAGTTTCAGAGAAAAGCATGGAAAGAAACAGCAAGGGTCAGCCTTTCCTGGAAACAGCCCTTGTGATCTGGCATCCTGGGAATTTGCCCAGCTGGACTTGTCCGTTTCTCCCATGCCTCATGATGCACTTACGTGAATTTCCCTGTGCCTGCCTAAGTGCTCCTCCATCAGGGGCTCCCCAGGATGAAAATGTCACCATCAGGGTCAGCAGTGTGGTAGGTTTGTCCTAACTCTACCACCTTACCACATGCACCCATCAAGCTGGTCAACTTCTTTCTGTTGCTGGAATTATTGAGAAATCGATTGGAGTAAGTAAATATGCTTGAGATGGCCCCCCAGTATCTGGCAGCACAGAGTGCCGAGGGAAAAGACACTGCAATAGTCCTTTCCATCCGTAACACCACAGGCTGCTCTCCAGCCAGAAAGCTTGTTTCCAAGTGGTCGCTGGTCCAAAAGTCTACATTATTCTGGATTTCAACCATATAGCTTAGTTTAAAATATGAGCAACTGCTTTCCAGTTACTTTGCTCAGCAAAGTAATTTTGCTTTCCCTCCGGTTGGCATGGGAGGCCTGTCGTAACCATGGCTATCATTCAAACGATGCATTTTCTTCTCCAGACTCCTCCCAAGCCCAGAGAAGGTTAGAAATTCCAGAGAACTACTAGTCCCAAACATCGTCTCTCTGCCAGGCTCAATCGTCTGATCCAAGCAAAAAGTGAAATTGACAAGTTCCTTCTTTCCCTGGAGGCCAAGCCTATGGTCCAAAAATAAATCTAGCTCTCCTGGCATCTGGTCTGTCCAGTTTCAGCCTTACTCCTTGTCCTGTGGGACTTCTGTTTGCAAGGGGATATTTCAGTGAGGAAAAATAATACTTTATATCCCATACTGAGGTCTGAGAGCTTCAAATATTTATTAGCAACTAGGAATGCTCGTTTCAAATATATGTTTCTGTATAGGCCAGGAGTCTTGTCTCATATTCAGAATAGACTCTATTCATTTTAACAAGCACTTTGATGCATCTCTTTCTATGCCTAGCACAATGCTCATTATTATAAAGGATCTTTGAATGCATACCCTGCCCTCTGAGAGGTTATAATTTAAGACACAGCAGACAGAGACCTGGAGAATATATTTAAGAATAAAGACTGCATTGTGTTTTGGGGACTCAGAGAGCAGAGACCTACTAGAAACCTAATGGCAGGGAAGGTTTCAGAAAGGTAGGTCTTTAAGGGTTCTTTGGAGAAAGGTGCTTCTGTAATATAAATATTATACCTTGACTTATACTTGCTTCACTTGTGATACCACTACCAACAGAGAAAGGTGAGTGGTGTCTAAGGTTCAGGACTCTTTTCAAATATACGACTGAGATCAGGAACCTGGAACATCAAGAATCCTGAGCTCTATTTCTGGATTTATGACAAACTTGCTGAAAAACCTAGCACTGGGCTGAGATAGTTATTAATATTTCCATTATGCAGGTGAGACTGACCCACAGAAGTTAATCTTACCAAGGTCAGTCCTTACACTTTAAATATACATGACAACTGATAACACACACAAAAGTAAATAGGTGAGGTGATGGATGCGTTAATTAACTCGATGGGCAGAATCCTTTCACAAGATGTATATATTACATTGTACACTTTAAATATCTTACAATTTTATTTGTCATTTATACCTTAATAAAGCTGAAAAATATATGTACATGACAAAAATAATTTAGAATGACAAAAATTTAGATAATCTCTTTTGGACACAAACTCCTTTCAAAGTCTAGGGTAGCTCTCTCTAACCCAGGCTTCTTCTATTTTCTATTTGCCAGTTTGTCTATTTGTAACAAGCAACTTCTCCCTCATAATCCAAGATGGTGCTCAATCTCCATGCATCACATTTGTCTTCCAGCCTACAAGGAGGAAAAAGGGGGAAAGAAGAGCATGCCCCTCTCTTTAAAGATAACTCCCAGAAGTCAAAGTCACCATATCTCATCGGTTAAAACCTAGTGACCTGACCACACTTAGCCACAAATAAGGCTAAAAAAATTGTGTTATTAATTCAAGGTGGCCACATGTGTCCAGTTGAAAATCAAGGGTTTACCAAGGAAGGAGAAAACCCTGGGACAAAAATAGAAGTAGAAGCCATCATCATTATCATAGCTTGAGTGCTAAATGAAAGAACCATGGACAATGCAATGCAGTCCAGAGTGTTTAGTTGTGGCTTTCCTCTAGCTCTGCACATCTAGCTCACTCATGCTCAAAACATTAATGGCCTTAGGGCCAGACAGCCAGACTCTCAATGCCACAAAAATTTACTTCTGGTATTTCCCTCTCTTAGGCACCTTCAAGTGGGAGGATCTGAGAACATACTTGGATGAGGCTCAAGCCACACAGTGCCAGAGTGGCAAGAAAGAAGCCCCCTGACGAGACGAGCAGTCAATTAGGACCACTGGGAAGAATGCCATCTTTGTGAAAATATTCTTGGCAATCGCCTGTATTCTTCTGTTCTGTTTCTTTCCCTCCCACATCCACCTATAGGGAAATCTCTTTTCACCTGGTTACTTTTCTGTGACCTGGTTTCAAAATGACTAAGAGAGCAATAACATAAAGACTTTAATAAATACTCTCACATTTACTCTACAAGGTAGGTACCATCGTTTCCCCTGTTTTACTAATGAAGAAGCAGAAACTTGGGGAGGTTACATAACTCAGCCAGAAATAAAT